AGTACCATTAACTTACCTCTATTGGTAACAGTAGGTGTCACAAAAAAAGATGTAATAGATCTAGTAGGAACAAAAGTACAAATGATGCCTATAGTGAGGAAAGTAGTAGAAATAATAAGAATAATGCTGAGTCAAAGATGCTTCAGTTATTAGCAGAGATAGTTATAGTAAATAATTACAACTAACTTATTGTAGCTGATGCAGTAGGACCAGTTCCTAATACATTAACAGCAGCCACACCAACAGTATATACTGATCTTACTGTAACATCAGGTATATTGTATGTAGTGGTAGGAGCTGGTATTGTTATACCAGTATAATGATCACTAGGGTATACTATATAACTTGATACATAAGGGCTAACAAAATAAGGTGGCTATAATAAGAAATGATAATAATATTAGTACAATTCAGTTTTACTTACATAATTCCATGTTACATAAATATCGAAACCGGTCCAATTAATTACCAAGTCAGTTACAGGTCCAGGGACTATTCAGTTATTATTAAACTTAAAATCATTAAAATGTATACTTACCATCAGCTATAAATATTATTTTACTGGTAGGATCCATATATCTACCAGCAGTAGCAACAGCTACTACACTAATAGAATATTTTGTATCATTAGTTGAATGTACTGGTAAACTCAGACTAGTATTAGTAGTATTGATAGTATATTCAATACTAGTAACATTAACACTGTAATGAGATAAACAAGGACTGGTTGATTGTGGAGTCCAGGAGAATATAAGAGTATCAGAAGTGAACTTAATATCAGTAGAAACAGGAGCAGCTAAAACATCTGAAATTAAAAATAACAAAGACATTACATTACAGGACGTATACGCACCTGCAATTATTATAGAACAACCAAATGGTGTAGTACCAATTATATCACATAGAATAGTATAATTATTAATGGCCAGTACAGGACTGAATGATATATTAGACCGCATAGGATCAGCACTGGAAGTAAGGATAGTTTCAAAATAAGTGCCAATGATTCTTGGTGTAGAAACATCTGTTCTTTCAACATATGCAGTTGTACCATTCGGTATATTATCATTACTAGATCTACTACTATCACGTATACCCCATCTTAATACATCATCATCAAGGCCAGCTCCATTCTCCCCACTACACATATAAGACACTGGTTCAGAGAGGCATAGAGGTGAGCTGGTACATCCAACAAACAGTGTCATAGATGTACCTAGAAATTTTTTAATTACATCTAAGCCCTAGGCTATGGATTTAGCTTACCATTCACTGACAGAAGAAGGCACAGGAGGACTAGGAGACAAAATGCAGCTTTCTTCATAATTAATTACTTGCGAAACGATCGAAACTCTAGAAAACCACGCCTTTATTCCAGTTCTAGCGCTAGATCATAGATGTGGTTATCTAAAAGGCTAGATGGAAATGAGAATGCATGTTACGATTTATCTCCTGTGCATTCTTCTAGCTCTATCTGTAAACAGTAAGTTCATAATAGTCAATAGCCTGTAATGATGTAGATCTAAGTAATCAAACAATTTTTAGGTACTAGTAGTACAACGATATTTACTGGATGTACCAATTATTCACCTCTATGTCTTTTGCAACCAGTGTCTTATACGTGTAGTGGGGAGAATGGAACTGGCTCAAGTGATGATTTATTGAGATTGAGGATTCGTAATAGTACAAATGCTCCAGATGGTGGAACTGCATATGCTGAAGGAACAGTTGTTTCTACACCAAGAATCATTGCACTTATTTTAAACTATTCTT